TCAACTGGGGGCTTCTCAGATCTTCAGCTCCGACTGGTTTTCCATATTTAGAATCCCTATCTATAGGGTACTCTATAGGTATTCTAGATGGCATATGTAAGGTATCTTAAGGTATTCAACAGGGTATTCCTGGAAAGCCACCGAAAAAGGTAGATAACTGAGGGGGGGGTAGCATATATATATATATATATATATGTGTGTGTGTGTCTAGAGAAGTTATCAATCAAATGTGTGTGTGTAAACATGGACACCTTTGTGCCGTGTTAGCTGTTTTCAGATTCGGACAAGGGCAGCCAATATATGCACTCACAGCGAAGCTTATAGACTACATCATTGAGCAATTTAAGCATAGCATAATCCCGGCTGAAAGCTCATCACAGCAAGGCGCGGGACGAATCGCATGGAAGTAAGCCGGGCTTTCGACCATGACATACCTGATTTGAGGACGTCACGCTTCGGTGAATTCGGCGGGCTTTTCCAAAGCTGAAAACACGGCAGGATTGTGGCTCAGCTTCTGTTCAGCATTAAATCTCCACATTAAAGCTTAAAGACTGTCACACTGGCCATCGTTGCAGGCCATGAACTGGACACCGGCAAAGCTGAGCCCAACGCTCAATCATAGGGTCCTATCTGTTGCATGCAACGAATGGAGGGCTTCAGCCTGAAAAACCACTGAGCACCCCAAGTGGTATAAGTAGCTGCTGCAGAAGCTGGGTCATACGAACATCGTGCACCTACAACGCATCTGATCACCGAGCCGCAGCAAAGCTCGGCTTGGGGAGTTGGCATTTGGTGCTGTGGGCGTGTTGCAAGTTTCTCCATCACTTCAATTACATACCCCAAAGAAACTCGAGTTCAACACCTTTGACTCCATGTTGCTTCTTGCTGATGCTGAACCGACCGAGATCATCAGGGTCCAGGAAGGATACTCCAACCACATTCCGGTGCGTCGCCTGACGAAGGTCGAACTCCTCAACCACGGCATACATCGCGGAGTCCGGTATTGGTGCTTGCTGTGAGTTGGTCTCGAAAAGGATCACCAAACTGCCATGGATAAGGTGGCTGCCCAATGTGAAATCAATCCTCCTGCCGCCGGTTTCGAACTGCAGCTGTAGCATCGGCTTCTTGTTGCTGGACACCGCAAAGTCAACAGCTCGGGTGTTCGGATAGAACGTTGAGTTGACGGGCTTCGCCGATTTTGTGGATGACACCTTGCTGCAAAGAAGTAACTCTCCGAACCGGGGCAATCATCTGGAAACTCCTAAGCCGTACTTCAACTGCTTGAACGAAAACCACGAAAACTCATGATCAAGTATAGTAGTATGAGATGGTATCCGAGTATCTGCCTCTGCCTTTTTCAATCGGCCCTTGTGCAACACATCGCAGTGAGTGCCGAGGAGCAAATCGGGACAGAAGATTTGTCAGTCTTTCGGTGAGGCCGTGGCCTGCTTTCTGAGAGAGGAAAGAGGCCACAGCTTCACGCAACGGCGCCAACAGCTCTTCCTGCCACAGCATCAAAGTCGGTATGGATGAGCGTTTAAGCCCTCTACTTCCCCCGAGCGTCACATCAAGCAAAACATGCTTTGTTTTGGACCCGACCTCGAAAGCCCCAAACACTATGTAAAACTTCTTCAATGGGCTTCTGCTGAAGTCGCACAAAGGGCAACAACAGCAATACGCGATGATGCACTAGTGATGCTGCGTCTCTTGTTGCCGTTTGAGCTCCGGGCTCGACAGCCATGAATGAAGCAAACAACCGAAGCTGCACATCCACAGTCAGCTGCTCCAGCTGAAGCCGAATGTCCAGACAAATGCTGTTGAAGTACTCATGGGTCTGAGGCTTTCTGGAAGTCATGCCAACACGTTGCATTTCTTGGTGAAGTTCACTGCAATTACACGAGTCTGACGAGTCTCACTCCGAAGAAAGTGCAAGCAGTGGTGCCGAAAGCAGCGCAGTCTTCCACCAGAAGGAACGAACGGATCGACATGAGTAGGTCAGAGAAACAGTCACAAGGGGCGCAAAACCTGCATTGAAGCCCACTGTCCTTGTACAGCAGAAAATGCGTCTGCCTGCATGCAGAAGTCTTGCAAGACATACAATCTATTTGTGGTCGGCGGCCAGGCCTCATGACTTTGAGTTAACCCTGTGCTTGATCGTGAGCGTTTCTGTTGCATCTACACGAACCAAGCCAGGTGCATCTTCCCTCCCACAACACCATCAACATTAATCGGATGATCCGTTGGCTTTCAATTCTATGTGATGACAGAGCACAAGCGCAATTGCGAAAGCTGAACCCAAACGCACCAGCTCATACATCAAGACGCTCCCCCTACACACAGACACAAATGTAAACACAGCCAAACAGTGAAGACCAGGACCTGCAAGGAAGGATTGTGCACACACCGTGGGGTGAGTCCAGATTGACGACCTGCAAACCAGACTGAGTAGAAGGCTCTGGCAGGGGTATACATTGAGAGCTTGCCAAAGCCTTGAGCCTGAATGTGACCCCACACCTTCAGCTTTCGACATGTACGCTGGCGGCCTGCTTCCTGTTCTACCCTGAAGTCACGCCTGTAGAGCTGCTCTTCAGAGTCAGCATCCCAGCTGCCATCGCCTGAGCTGTGTGAAGAGAAGAATATTGAGGGTTTACATCGATGGGTGTTGTCAGCGTGCTTCTAGTTTTTACAGCCACCGTGCTGCAGCTTGCCATCCTCCTCCTACGCTACTACTCCTGCTCTTGCTGCTACTGCTACTACAACTCCAATTGCTATTACTACGGGGACTACTGCTATAAAACTACTGCACAGATCAGGAGTCCAGGACAAGCTTGTGTGTGCTGGGAATAAGCTATCGAAGGTCGGAAACAGACCTCGTTTTCTCAACAAGCATCACCATCGGCATCATCACCGTCACCATAATCATCATCAGCATCGTCATGATATTCGTCCTCTCTTCTTCATTGCTTCATCATCATTTTATAAACCTGCCTTGTGAGAAGCAAACTATCCTCGATCATTTTCATCTTCATCATCACCGTCATCACCCTCATCCTCATCCTCATCCGCATCACTGTCATCGCAACAGCTTCTTCTTCTGCATCGTGACAGTTGCTGTTGATATTCTGACTGTTGTTGATGTTACAGCTGATGTTGTTGCTGCTTCTATCGCCGTTGCCATGTCTGACACTAGGTCTATTGCGCTTAATGTTTGTATGCTACTGGTACAACGATTTCTACTAATCTTGTACCGAACAATGAATAATAATAATAATGGGAACAATCAGAACGATTACTATCATTATCATTATCTGTCGCCAGCACCTTCACCATTATTCATAGTCATAGCCTTCGCCATCATGATCATCACATATCATCACCACCATCAGCAGCAGCAGCAGCAGCGTCATTATTGCCGGTGGTTTCAAGTCTACTTGTTGCTGCCATACATATCATCATAAGCGCCATTGCTTCTGGTACAATTATGGGACATTAGTAGTAGTGACGCCTCTTCCGCCGCCTCCTCCTCCTGCTCCTCCTCGTGACCATCATCATCTTCTTCTTCATACTGCTGTTATTGTTGTCGTCGTAATCATCATATTCCGTCATCATCACCTTCATCCTCTTCTTCGACATGATTATCCAATCATGTCGTTGTCGTCCCCATCATCAGAATTTTCATACGTTCGGACCCCTTGCTTCTCAAGTGCCAGCAGGTCTCGGTTGGTCGGCAGCCTCGCATCCGTTCGGAGGAGCTCCTACGTGCAGCTAGGGCAGCAGTGCCAGGCTGTCTGCAACTGACCCACTGGCGGCTCGGAAGCTCCTCTTGGTTTACAGCTGGGACATGGGGTCGCAGTGTTTGTAGCACTTGGAATCAGCGGTGTCCTCAAAGGTCGGCAATATGTTGACCTCGAACGGGTCCGGCAAGTCCTCGAACATTCGCAAACTGAAGATTTTCGAGGGATTGAGAATTCCTCTGACTTGGGAATATACGAGGAAAGGCTTTGGGTTCGTCAGGCCCTTCCTGCAGACCAATATGATGCTGATAAGAACCAAGAGGCACGCAAGTAGAGCAAACGCAGACGTGTGTGATTTGGACCTGGAGTTCAAGTGTGCGCAATACTCAGCAGGTGCATGGCCGAAGCTCCAGCGCATTTGCAGTTCGAGCTTGCTCTCGCGCTCGAGCATGAACCACGCTGCGCAAAGGCGCATTGGCCTCAGTTTGCGCCGGTTTTCGTTGTGAATCTATGCATCCCATTGGCTGCTAGTCCGTGCCACTGGTGGGATTGTCCGAATCCTGATGCATGTTGGTGCTACAGGAGTGCATGGACTTTCGCTTCACAGTGCGCTTCGAAGGTTTGCTTATGGACTTTGTGGCAGGCAGTTGAGCTAACCCCCCGAAGCCCCAATTAGCAGTGCAGTTTCGATGACTGGAAACAGTTGCCCAGAAAAGATGATGACCAGTTTATATAGAGGCTGAAGCTGAGAATGCAGTCTCAGATCAGAACCTGCACAAAACTGCCTCCTTCCCGCAGCCTGCTGAACCCTCAGGACATCCACTTTCAGAAAACATCCCGAAGCCCGGCCGAAACCTGTCATTCAGTAGCCTAAGCTTTCTCGTCAGGCAACTCCTTGGTCTGCAATCGTTTGCAATTGCTCCCAGAGCCTTCAGCACGACAGGGAAACAGGCATACACTTGTTTTGTTTTGAGATTTAGTTCAAGACAGCAGAAAGTCAACAAAGAGGATCAGCCTCATCAAGTTTCTAGATTCCCACGTCATGCTAATATCTCAACTGATTAACCTCTTGGGGGCTGGTCTGTCCCATGAGCTCTTGGACCCCGTCATACTCATTAGCGCATGTTCTCAGAGGGGCAGGCAGGGCTTGGCTTCGGATGGCCAAGTAGCTGCGTCGTGTAGAGGCTCCCATGCTGCTGTACAGCAGCCTGCGCAGAGTAGTTCACGGAGAGATTCAGGGGCCAGGGGTCCGTGGATTGAGCCCCGGCGAGAAAGGAATCTAGCTTTGCCTGCTGCTTCTTCTAGGATTTCCGGGGTTCGGATAATGCTTAAGAGTGGAAAAGGCAACCTGCTCTCTTCGCAAACCTTGCAAAACCCTGCATCTTCACTCCCAATCTTCAATCTTACGGAAAGCTACTGACCCCCCGTCAGTCAAAAAAGAAGACTTCATGCAAGTGCTGTGCATATGCCGTCTTGAGGACCGGTTGAACATGAACTGCCATTCCAGCCCCTTCATCTTCGGCAGCGCCTGCACTGGGCTCATATTGTTCCAGTTTTTCAAGACCGCGCCCATGGTGGGTTCAGCCTGCCAGCGCGGTGAAAAGCTCTATCCGATCATGATGCTTCAGTCTTCGCCCGGTCTGTGCCTTTGCGGTGCCAGGAACAGGGCAAAGGTCTCTCGCGGCATATCCGTCTTATACAGTGGTGCATTGCAGCATCTTGCGAAGAAATTACAAGGAGGGATTGTGCTGGCTCTTCTACTACACATACGGTGTTCATGACACTGTGGTCGGCGAACATCTCGCATCGGCTTCGCCGTCAAAAAGGTACCATGACGGGAAACCTAATCCCACTCCGAGGCTTTCAATCTTCTGCATCTCGGGCTGCTGTATCCATAGGCCAATGCTACTTGAATCGAAGCCTACCGGCCAGAAAGAAGACGGTTACCGTACAGAGAGTCCCTCCTTTCCACAGTCCCAAGAGCGAGACAACCCTCAAGCACAAACATGTCCAAGCCCTGCACTTTATGAAACTTTCGAAGAGTTGAGGCCGCAATCAAAGCCTCTCAAGCTCTACAGCCTTGTCCCCCAAATCTCTGGGCACCTGCCACGATTATACATGGCAGTATTCGTCACAGCCCACCATGCAGCCTGCAAGGTCCTTTGCAACACCTTCAGCCTTAGATCTCCAGAGCGAGGACTACAGGAGGCATGTTGCTTGTATGAAAAAGGTACGACGTTTTGGCATTAGGGTTCTCGATGCGTTGCTGCATGACACGGGCCCGAGTTCTGGAAGCGCCCACATGACGTGTTCATGAGCCAACACGCATTACAGGAAAGCCTTCCGTCCGAATCGCAAGGCCACGGCTTGACCCAAACAAAAGGGACCGTGCTCCAGCTACTACATGTTTGACTCTTTGCCGAAAACGGGATGAGATGCTACCACTGCAGAGAGGCTGTAGTTCAGAGCGTTTGTTCTGTCTGCAGCATCTAAACGTAGGAAATCTCTGGGAGGTTGCGGGCTGAGGGTCGAAGCCGAGCAGCATCACATCCAGCCGTTCTCTACTCAGCTGTGGTGCCAATTTGCGCATGAGGCAGGGAACCAACGCTGGAGCCAACTGCTGGAGCGCCGTGTCCTTGGTGGCATGGGCTTCAAAGCGCTGTACGGTTCGCCTTCCAATGAAACCTGAAGCCGACAAGTGAAACAGCAACCTCAACCAGAAAGCGAACTCGCAGAGGCAGGCCGGACTCTCAGAGTGCATCGTGCTCGCATGACTCATCTCTTGGAGTGCGGGCCATGGGGAAAGCAATTTCCGAACTCTGGCCAGCATGCAGCGCATGGCTCGAAACTCAAACACTTACGAATCCCGAAGGCTAAAACTCCGAAAGCACCTCTGTAAGCCAGGCGTCCAAGCGTTGTGAAATAAAGCCCCCCTGGCAGTCGTTGATCGTATCTGTCAAGGTTCCTGAGCAGAGCTGTGCTCAGAAAGCAGTGTAAGTAGTGTCCTGCGGTCGAACCCATGCCCCATTCATGCTAAGCAGTCTGGGGTGAGAATCATTTGGTGGTTTAGTTTATACGGTACAGATGAAAAACCGGGCGTGGCAGAAGTTGCACAACGTGGTGGACATTGAACGTGCAACAATCCAGCGAAGAGAAACACGGCCAAACCGTTTGCTGACCTGGCACGCAAAGGTAAATCGGCGAAGGGCTTGGTTGCATTGTTTTGGGCTAAAGCCCAAATGGGCTATCGAACATCGAAACGTCCAAGCATTCCCACAAGATCGACTGATCTGTTTCTACAGGGGCAAAGCGTTGTCGACCACGCTTGCAGCTGCCCGAGTTTTGCGCCAAGGGCTTGGTGCTTGGAAGAGAGTCCCCGGAATGCGCATACCAAATCGGACACGGCGAGCTAAGGAAAAGTTTTCTTGCTGAAGCTCCACAGCCCATCGGAATGCTGATGAGTCTGCCAATGCTACTCTAACTGTAGATGTCGCGCGAAAACACGCAATTCCGGAATCTCAAAGCCGGCACCTGCTCGGCATAATGATTCTGAAGCAGCATAAGGCTGCTCGGGCACGAAGGCTCGCCAACGGGAGCTCTTGCAATCCTGCAGCAAGGACCTGAGGGAAGAGCCTCATGACTTGTTTCGGGACTCCGATCCCACGTTCTGCCGACGGCTGGTGGAATTCCAGTTTGCTAGTTGTGCGTTTGTCTGTATTCTGTGTGTCTTTCCGTCCGTGTGTCTTTCTTTCTGCTTGTTGGTCTGTGTACGTACATACATATGGCTTCGCACACAATGCATAGCCTACCTACGGTCACGCACTAACTTCCAAACTTGTGTGCATCTGGATGCATAGCTGTCTCAGCATGTGCGTATACATATATGCATATATGTATATACACGTATATAAACACAAACACACACACACACACACACACACACACACACACAGAAAGACATACAGCGGATGCGAACCTGTTTGCCAGCAGCTTTCCAGATGCAGGAGCATTCACAACTCTCGACCACCAAAGGACCGGAAACGACGCAGAAGTCCATGTTACGGCATGCCGAATTTGAGGTTGTGTGGCGTACGCCTCTACATGATTCCGTAAGTTGCAAGCTCCAGATGCAGGGCTACTGCATATTATCTATCCTTCAACACTACAGCGACGGGGCAATGCGAACAAAAGCCGGGGGAGCATAATTCTGCATACTACAACTCTGACTCTGCAGCAGCAGTTTCCCATTGAAAGCATGCTCGTTTGAGTTTCTACGGTTGTGGACACATGTACCAGGGAATGAGCAGAGCAAGCACCCGACCAACGCGCTGCTCACCATCATCTCGACTTTTCTGTCCGGGTCTGCCTCCATGGAAATTGCCTGTCAGCATACCGATTGCACCAAGGTAGGAGCCTGTAGGACCATTATAGTTAATTATTGTCTCCGCAACGAGCTTGGTATCTGTCTGAGCACCGTCGAAGGAGCTGAGTCTTTGCACTAGGCTTGGGAATTCCCCAAAACGAAATACCAGGATGGCTAATCTATGTCTGCGAACAGCACACCTGATGTCTACAGTGTAAGTACCTCTGTTACTCCTGGAGGAAAGCAACAACCCATCTCTTCGGGTCGCTACGTTATGTGCAGCTGGTGTCCTCCACCCAACCTTGGGCGGTGGTCGGACGGCGCTGACCTTTCTTGCCTTTTCCTTTCGCCTTCGCAGTCAAAATGTTGTGAGGATGTGCTTAAGGGGTCGTGGAGTATCTCTGCAGCCGAGTCATCCGTAGTTGATAGTTACTGGGCGGGGTAAGTGTACGTACAATGCACCTATACTGGTCTGCAACTGCCAGCCCCAAAGAGCTATCTAACTATGTCGTCTCAGTCGATTTCTCGGACTGAAACCGTCTCTGTTCGCTGTCTCTCGACCGTCTACCATGCAAGAATGAACTTCAAACCGCATAGGATCGCTAAACACATTGAGGGACTCTAGCTCGTGTAGGGGCGTGAATCATTGAAGTGTATTATAGCATAGTTATCAGGTGGAGCCGAAGTTGGATACTGGGGTGAGTTATTCAGGCTTCTATATGTTGCACGAGGTGGGCAGCCGAGGTATATGGCTTTCTGCAGCCTTTCCCGGTAACGCCAGCACATGTAAATTCTTAAGCAACTTCCCCCATCCCTGCGGGGCCTCGCCATGTGTAAATGCACCCTTGCTTTTGCCGCCTTTGCCTTTGCCTTTGGCTGCGTCTGCCCTTGGTGCATCTCAAGCTGCGAACACGTTCACAAGACTTGCAATCAGGGCTTGGGCCCCAACGGGCACTGCACATGTACTCTACGACTAACCCTCAGCCTGAAACTCCATCATGTTGTGCTTGGTGCTTCATTAATTACGTGTTGTGCTGTAAGCGATCACATGTTCACGCTCGGCACTAAACACCGTGAACCAAGAGTCTGGAACATTTTACCCTTGCCCTTGGCAGGAGATGGAAAGCTCTTGCCGCCTTTGCCATAGCTGTATTCATAAGCCTGGCCATAGCCCTTTCCGCCAGCCTTTGCCTTCCCCTGCCGGGGCTGAAAATCATGCCACGCTGCATGCATGGGGCTGACCGCAAACTTTCTTAGGAGGTTTCCCCAGTGTCGTGCTGAAAAGACTGAGGCCGACACCCGACTCCCTGAAGCCCTGTGTCTCAACCAGCCTACTTGAACACCCTCCCTGCCCCCCCCCCCCCCCCCGGCATCCCACTGGCAACAAGGCAGACTCTCTGGTCGTGTTAAGCCTCGCCTTCATGGAAAAGCAGGCCCACGCGCACGGAATAAACCTTCAACTCGGAGGAAGAGACTTAAACAACGCTTGAGCCCGATCTGTCGCGAGTGCTGATCTTTGTCTGTATAGGGTCAGAGAGGGCTAGGATATTGATGGGAGCGGGGCTGAGGGGGGGAGTTGTATCCCATATATCCATGTATGAACTAGCTAGTCCTTGGAGAGTTACAAACCCGCCACTTTTCTTAAACTTCGACCCTGGGCCTTCAAGCCATAAATCTTGAGTCATTGAGGACTAGAATGACTAGAAAAAAACAAGCCCGAAGCGCATCGCTGCTCCTTAAGATCAATCTCCGTTTCCACCGAAGTGACAGGCACAGTTTTCGATGGGGGGGCTGGTGAGTTTCGGGTTTAGCGGGAGGGGATCATACTCCAGCGGACAGCTGTTTGTTGCCGGCAAAGCATCTTACCTCGCCATGGTCGGATCTGTCTTGCACAACCCAGTTGTCTTTCTTTTAAGCGGGGGTTCATGGGATGCAGCTTGGGCAGCAAGGTAGTTTATCCTGCAGCCGTCCCATGAACATACCATGCTTCCGGAACTGGCTGGCTGGCGTTGGTCGCCGGGGCAAGGAAACGAAGGTTCCCCAGCCGAGCAGTTGGGGCTGGAAGGCTTGGCTTTTAGCGAGAAATCTGGTTGAACTTGTCGCACACCGGGCTTATGTCTTGCTGCTTCGTCTCAGCGGCACTTCAAAGAAAGAGGCCGTGATGCTAATCGGCTCTAAGAAGGAGACAGATCCGGGTCCCCCGGTGGAAAATGGCGCCGCTCTAGTCCAGAAACACGCCTGTGATGGCTCCGGGGCCCGTGAACGGTGAGCACGCTTACAAATTAAGTGGCTTGGTTTGGAAATTGTGTGCACTCGCGGGTGTACTTGTCGTAATGGCCATAGAGAGTGAGCAGAAGGAAGAGCAACATGACCCTCAGTGCACAGAGCTACAGTACTGATGCGGCCAAATTTTTTGTAAACATGACTGCGAGGATGCTGGGTGAGGTCGCGAAAAGACAAATCCTACTGCTGGTGCTCTTTATGTTGGGCCTTCCGGAGCTAAGATGAATGCTATGGCCGACTGCCTGCAGCCAGTGGTTTCGGCGCAGCCAGACTGCCAGACCCAATCACAACTCATAAGCAGAACCTCGGCCTAACTTGGAGGTTCGGGGCTTGGCTTTACGACCGACTTTCGGGTTAGGATGCAGTGCGCATGGCTGACTTACGGTTGGGAGGGCACAGTTTGAGGGTGCTGCTTGAAGCCAGCAGGGTTTAGGCTTAGGGCTAGGGACTTGGATTCGACGTCCAGGGAACCTGCACGGATCTGCCTGGACGGGTCAGGATTTAGGGCTCTGAGCTTTTGGCATGAGCGTTGGGGATATTTGGTCGGCTCGGCTCGCGAACTTTTTTGTACTGTACTAAAACCGGGAGCCCTGAATCTGTTTGGCAGCTTGGCTCTTGAGCAGCTCCCTCCGATCCCAATATTATAAGGGCCTGAATAATGAGAGCAGGGCTCAGCCTTGTTGTACAAGTACCATGAGAAACTGAAAGGAATATGATAGGTAGTGATTCCAGCTCCTATACTACAACTACCTGTTACCATCACTGCCCTCAACTTCGAAGGAAGACTGAAGCTGCAAACGTACCGCCTCGCCAACTCGGGAAACCTCCACCTCGTCTTGTCGGAAGCCTACAAGCCCCAAACCCTAACTGCTGAGTTGAAGTCCTAGATGCGAAAGCCGTAAATAGCCTGCACTGCACCCTAAATCTTAGTTCACGTATACTTGAAGAATCAGCCCTACATCCCAAAGTGAGGTCATTGCTGAACGAGATGGATCGGGGCTGGTCCTCTGCCTTTGGACAATGGCAAAGCTCAAGGTTCCGCAAATGCGGGAACACGTAGAGTCTTAGGACTACGTAGCTGGGTCGGGAGGAAGTTCTGGTTCGGAGCCTAGACTTGGTTCTTGAACATCTTGGGACCCAGAGAAGGTCTGATCTCACAGTGGCAGTGAGTACTTTGACATTTCCTGTTGTGAAAATTCGACGGTTCGGTGACTTCCGGGAATCGCAGGAAACACGGCCCTGGCCGCGGAGTCGCCTCAGCCCTATTGGCACACGACTCTGTTCTACGACTTGTTCCTCGAGTTTATCTGTTGAGCAGCTGCCACTTGCCTGAGAGACCAGCTACTGGTATCGTCGTAAAAGGCCATGAATAGCTCGGTGCGCGGATGCTGTGTTCTAGCTGAGGAAGGAACTGTGTCTGTCTGTCTGTCAATCTGTCTGTGGAGCTGTCGCGCTGTCTAGCTGTACAGCCTCAATCTGGCCACCTGTCTATCTATCTATCTATCTATCTATCTATCTATCTGTCTATTTGTCTATCTATCTGTGTGTCTCTCGTCTATCTGACCTAAAAGTATCTAGCTATCTATCTATCTATCTATCGATCTATCTATCTGTCTATCTGTCTACCTATCCGCCTACCTATCTATCTATTTACCTACCCATTTACCTGCCTCTGTATACATATATTTTTTTATATACATCGCAATCTCTATCTCTCTCTCTCTATCTATATATATATATATATATAAGGGTTTGGGAACAAGTGCGACAGCAGCGTCGCATATCGCCCGGAACCCCAGTGCTAAAAGCACGAACCCCGCGCCGAGCCATAGTCGGTTCGCCGAGCTGGCACAGGAGGCAGCGGAAAATAAGGTCCAGAGCCCGCCAACGACTTCACCGGAGGCGACAACTTGGTCAACCAGCCCTGCAGGCGGACGTCCGCCGTCTACAACGGCACCATACAAAGCCGAACCTCCGCGAAAGCCACCTCATGGGCCGCAAGGACCAATGGAAAAGTCGTCGGCCAGATGCAGGTTACGATGGATGGGGACACTCGTCTTCCTCCTGGCAGGGACCTGGTGCTGGCAAGACTTGGAACCAAAGAGAGGGCAGATGGCAGCAAGAAGGGAGCGCCAAGCCCCTATTCCCGTCCTTCGAAGAGATGAAGATCAACGAGAGGCAGCCACGGGATGGTGCAGCAAGGCGGGAGCAGCCGGACGAACAACACCAGGTAGATGCCAACGACAAGGACGGCTACATCACTGGAGTGCAAAAAGCCCTCAATGTGGTGCGGAAGGCGGAAGGCAGGACCCGGAAGCTCACCACGGACAGGAAGGCTACCGAGGCCAAATGGGCGGAGTTCCAAGCCAGCCTTCGCGAGGCATACATCACAGAGAGGGCAAAGTACAAGGAGAAGATGGCCAAGATCACCCAGGACGAGGAGGACAACGCGGTGGCGAAGAACGAGGCCTTGGCCGAGCTGAAGGAGATCATGACCCAGCCCAAGCGTGCCCCAGAAAAAAGGGAGAAGTCCGCGGAGGACGCGGAAGCTCTAGCAGAGCTGGAGGCACTGTTGAGGAAGCCCTCGGAGGCCGAGGGTGGAGGTATCACGGAGATCCTGGCGGCGGCGGTCAACGACGGGGACTTGGACAACCACGACAAGAGACAGAAGATCCTCCGTGCGATCGAAGACCACCGGCGTGGCGAGGACGAGATAAAGACCCCGGAGAGAAGAAGACGGGCGACCATCGAAAGGACACCACCGGCCAAGAAGCAGAAAGAAGAGGCAACCGAGCTCCCTTACGACAGCAAGGACCACCCGGAGGACGTGAAGATGGCGGAGCCCTACATAGCCTCGCCGGCTCTACGAAGCATGCCTGGGTTGGCAGCCGAAAGCAGCCGCTCCAAAAGCCGAAGCCGCATGCCCATCAAATTTGTGGGCAGGGCGCCGGCCCGGCAGGACAGGGCAAAAGCCATCTCGGCCAGGCTGGAAGCCAAGAGAAACATGGGAAACGAAGAGGAGCAAGATGCCGAGAGCGTGGGCGAGTCCGAGGACGAAGACGACGAGACCCTTGCGGGCCTGGTCCGCGGAAGAGGCCCGCGCCCGCCGGACATCGACTAAGCTTGCCCCCCGAAAGCCTTCATGGATGCCGCCGGCGGGAGAACCACAACGGCACCGGCTTGGAAAATTCGGAGTGCCTATGGCCCGGTACTCGACCAGGGGGTCGTAATGCTGGGGATGGCACGGACGAAACACAAGGAGGCTTGGAAGGAAGCTGGTACTATGAGCCCGACGGCTATGAGGGCACCGGCGCCACACAATTTTATCAAGCGGATGCTCCGTCCTGGCCTTTTCGGCCCGTCCAGGACCATGCAACCGATCGACGTCTCCCACAACGGCACGGCCCCCCGGGAGGCCACGACCGAGGACCCCACGTCATGGACATATTCGACGTGCAGGAAATAATCATGGAGACCATCCTCGATTACACGCAGAAGATCCAGTTTGAAGATGAAGGCAGGACCGCGGAAATTGCGAGGGCTGGCCTCCTGACAGTGCAGGCGATGGCACTGCTCTCCCCAATGGTTGCCTTGGCGATTTACGCCCGCCGCAGAACCCTGGGAGACTACAAGATGCAACGAAGAGGGAGCCGACCATCATGGCTGCGAATCCTACTAGTTGCATCGCTATGGAGGCCTACAGCAGCGATGCCACGGGCCTCGATGAGAGCGAGCCAGACGCCATGGCCCAGCTGCCCCAGGCAATCCGACTTGGAACTCTGGGCGAGCGGTCAGCTCACATTGCGCGAACAATTCGCAAACGCTGAGATGAGAGCGGCAGCTGAGGCGCCCCTACACAGTGGAGGGCGATTTGAGGCGGCTGCGCCTAGAAGGCACCCAGCAGAACGCGGAGAGCAGTTGCCGGCCGAACTGGAGACAGAGGAATGGAACTGGATCGACGAGGAGGCGGAAAGGACAACGCACATCTCCTTTTGGGTATGTGCCCCGCTGTACGAGCCGGTTTCCTTGGATATAGCCCTGGAGTTTCCGATGACCCAGCAGCGCATGTACGAGGCCATTGAGGACTCCATCCTGGATCTGCCCACTGGTGTCTTGGACAGAGTCATCGCTGTGACCCCCCAGGTCGATGAGCACTACGGGAGCGTGATGCTCATACCCAGCTGGGTGACTATGTCGGGACGGTGGGCGATCGTGATTGATGCCCGAAACTTCCAATGCGGTATATTCGGGCACTATGTGGACGGCCCCATCAGCGAGCGTGCCATCCTCCGGGCTGCCGGAATGGAGCGGGGTGGACCAACCCAAGTCTTCGCCTTCGGCAGCCTGACACCGCTTGGCCCTGAGGACACAGTGCCACCGCAACAAGGAGGACTTGTGCGCATTTTACATGCAGGGCATGTGATAGATTGGGCAAGCGAGCTGGACACAAGGCTTGCTGACCCGGAGAG